TATTGAGTTTTTTACAGAGAGAATGGGAGAGGGATAGAAAGTTAAAAACATTGATGAGAGAGAAATATTGATCAGCTGCCTCATGCACATCCCCAGTAGGGGATGTGCCCACAACCAAGGTACATGCCCTTGAGTGGACTCGAACCTGGGATCCTTCAGTCCGCAGGCCGACGCTCTATCCACTGAGCCAAACTGGTTAGGGCAAATCTTTTAATTCTTGATGTTCCTTTTCTTCTGCCTTCTGCCATAACTGTTCTTTCATCTCCCCCAATCCTCCAGAACTACAGTCAACCATGCAGTTGCAAGGGCCAGCACACTCCTTAGGAAGTTAGGCATAGTGTGACTTTCAACTGCAACTCTGTGCCAATCTTTTGGCAGGCCCTGACAGATTACCGGGCAGAGCTCCGGGATGACCCAATCATCAACACGCACTTGGCCAAGCTGTATGATAACTTACTGGAACAGAATCTGATCCGAGTCATTGAGCCTTTTTCCCGAGTACAGGTAAGAACCCTCCTGGGCACTCGAGCCCCTCTCTGGCTGGGTATTCCCACTGCAGCCCCTCCTTCCCCAACCTGTCCACAACAGGAACTCACTTCAAGGAGGTGCCTGGTGGGCAGAAACCACCGAGAGGTTGGCATTTTTTTTTAAGAAATTTTACTTACTGATTTTTGAGAAAGAGGGAAAAGCATCTACTTGTTCCACTTATTTATGCATTCATTGGTTGATTCTTTTATGTCCCCTGACCGGGGATTGAACCTGCAACCTTGGCATATTGGGACGACACTCTAAACAACTGAGCAACCTAGCCAGGGCCTGGGACTCTTGATGGAACAAGAATCCAGGAGAGAGGCTGTTGAGATTGCCGCTGCCTGTATTCAGTGTAGTCTCCTTGCTTTTGTAGTGAGCACCATGTGGTGAATGTTTCCTGAGTGTGTGGGGTAGGAGTGTGTTTATTGTCTGTGTGATGAAGGCAGATGGACAGAGCACAGGTGTGGCCAAAGGGAATCTGGCCCTATGGACACTCAGCAGTCCCCACCCCCCAACCCGTATATGAGAGGCAGAGGTAAAACTTTCAGTGTTGGTGTCTCTCTGCCTTTCCTTTTAGATTGAACACATATCTAGCCTCATCAAACTCTCCAAGGTAAGGAGTCCTGAGCTTGTCTTGGGGTAAGGATGGGGAAAGGGGTTTGTGGGGGGCTGGCATTACACTCAGTGGGCCTTGTTGGAAGGCTCCCAAGCTCCTCAGTGGGGCAGGGGGACCATGGAGTCAGAACTGGAGTTGCCTTGTTGCTGTTTTGTTTTCAGTCCATCTGCCCTAAGTTCCTTTTATGTATAAAGGCTTTCATGTCGGTGTGATCTCTGACTAGTGGAAATTTGCTCCTTTAATCAAGTGCTTTGATTTTAGGCCGATGTGGAAAGGAAATTATCACAGATGATTCTTGACAAGAAATTTCATGGTGAGTAACACTCATATAGGCAGGGGGGCTGGTGGTGGGGATGAAATGGTTGAAGAGGCATCATGTTCTTGTTTACCTTGAAAGAAGATAATTTCATTGTTTTACCTGGTAGTTCCCTGGGATCCTTGCCCCTCATCCTCCAGGGTGAGAGTGTATAGTAAACACGTATAAATGGAGAAATGAGGCAGCTGGGGAGTGGGTGTGTCTGAAATGTGCTTGTGTCTAATCCCATCTCTTACATGGGTTGCCCTTGTGTTTCCTGCAGGGATCTTGGACCAGGGGGAGGGTGTTTTGATTATTTTCGATGAACCCCCAGTAGATAAAACTTATGAAGCTGCTCTGGAAACAATTCAGAACATGAGTAAAGTAGTGGATTCTCTCTACAACAAAGCCAAGAAACTGACATAGGTGAGTGCTGGCTCCAGGGCCGGCTGGCAGCTCTGTCCTCTGCCTGTCGAGACTGAAAGCCTGCGGTGGCTCTCGGCCCCTGATTGACACTGCTCTGTCTTCTCTTACAGAGTTGGATCTGTAGCGGTCCTTTGGCGAGTGTGTGTGGCGGGAGAGTGAAACCTTTGGGGAAAATGCTAGGAGATTCTTTTTTCTTTTTGTTCTACTTTTCGCTCGGAAAGTTTTTAAATCCTCATTTGGTGCATCTGTATTCCAGCCGATAGGTGTGCCAGTTTTCATGTAATCTTTACTGGCCCAACTTGGGAGTGGGGACATTGCTTACAAAAAAAAGAAAAAGAAAAAAAAGATTATTCTAAATAAAAGGAAAAGGCTTACACTACCTAAAGCTGTGCTCTCTGCCTCCTGGGAGAGGGCTGTCAAGCCAGGCGCTCCGCCAGCCACCGGGCTCCACCCGCTGGCGGCACCTCTCCTCTTCAGAATTGGGTGTTTGCCTGACCATCAAAGCAACGACTTTTTATTCTGTTTGTACTGAACCAAAACAAACAACTGTGGATAGACTGCTGTTTTCTTTTTTATTTGAAACGAGGCGTTTCCGTGTTCTTTCCCCCGTCATACGGCTGTCCACCCACCTTCCCTCCACAAAGGCTCCAGCAGACCGGCTGAAGGTCCTGCCACCGCCCCAGCAGCAGCAGCAGCTCCGCTCGGACCTGGGAAGGACGGGACGAGGCCAGGAGCTAGTGTCCACCACGGCCACACGGGAGCATGTGGGCCCTCGCGGGGCCTGCTGTGCATGTGGCTCTTTTTAACACAGTAAACTAGATTAGACGTCAATGTTTTAATTGCCCCCCTCTGCTCTTTCTCTTCCTTCTCTCTCCCCTTTCAGCCAGGAGACCATCACGTGTCTCTTCTTCCTCCTTCCCCCTCGGGAAGGCGGGCTGTCGGGCGTCCATTAGCTTCCCTTCCTGTCCCACTCCTCTCCTGCTGGCCGATGGATTTATTCCGTTTTAAAACAGTGAACATCGGAAATGAGACTGGGGGGTGTGTTTTTATTTTTATTGTTGAGTTTTCGAGCAACCTCATGTCCCCTTCCCAGGGAGCCTCTTTCCTTTCTTAGAACTGGAAGCGGGGAGGTGAGCCTGCATACCGCATGCTTTTTCTGGCGAGGTCACACAGTGGATGCCACTGGCTGGTGAGCTTCGGGCCTCTGGGTGCTCAGCTCCCTCTTCCTCCTCCAGCTCTTGTCTCCTCCCTCCCTCTCCCTCCTGCTTCCTTCCTGCTGGCCTCCTTTTGTTTTTCTTTCCCTTTCTCAGATTATCCTTCCAGGTTTTCGTAATAAATTTATATTTTGTAAAAGGATTTTGTTGTACCAGGTTTTGCATCCTCACTGAATCTGACTGGCTCTTATTTTCCTCTCCAAAATCAGGTTTTTATTCTCAACATCTCTCCCCATCATGTCCAGTCACTGTTTTGGTTTTGGCACCATCAATATCAAATGTACAAACGGTTCTTGCTAACCAACACCAGGTATATCTGATGTTCAGATGAGTTCCAATAAAAACAATTTTTTTTTCAACAGTGTCTTTTCTTGAGTGCTGGAGGGCTTCCCAGGAATGCAGGCAGCTCTGTGGAGCCCTCTAGACTGGCCACAGGTGCACTATCATCTGCTTCCTGGGAGACCCATAGACGTGGGTGCTGTACTGAGGGGTCTGGGTAAGAGAGTTGGTCTGTGAAGCCTGAAATGGGGAATGGTGCTTAGGTATCTTTTCTGTTTTTCCAAGGCACCGTGGACATGGGGTTTGGGTGTATATATGTAATATCCTGAGCCTACTTCCTCTGCACGATGCGGATGGCGCCTCCGTGGTGGGTAACTGTGGTTTGAGGGTTCTATGAAGTCATGGAGATGCAAGTGCCCGAAGAGGCCTGACACTCGTGGTTTTGTTTCCATTTGGAATCTTCAAGAGCGGTGATTGCCTCACACACCTCAGACCTGGGGATGGTCCTGAGGGCTCGGGCCCCTGGGAGCGAGGGGAGCTCTAGCTGCCAACTCTACTTCCGTGTGAGCAATTGCTATTCTCAGTTTTCAGTGCTGTGTCTCTAGGTTTGCTTGCAGGAAGAGTTTTGCTTCAATAAAGAACTTTAAAAAGAGATTCCAAAGGTATCTTCAGAGCTGGAGCATAGGGGAGGGTTTCCCATGCCTTGGGCAGCCCCGACTGGCAGCAGCCTGTCCTCTGCCCCCTTTGCAGGTCGCTCCAAGGGGAACCACGAGCCACGTGGCTGTTGAGCTCCTGCAACGGGGCTAGATGGAGTTGCGATGCACTGCACATGTAACCCTAAGCCTGGCTTTGAAGACGTAGCATGAAAAGAATGTAAAGTAGCTCAGCCTTTTTATATGTCGAAATATTTGAGCATTATTGGGTAAATAAAATATATTATTAAAATTCACCCGTTTCTTTTTACTCTTAATATGACTACTAGAAAAGTACCTACGTGGCTTGCATTTGTGGCTTGTGTTACTTTTCCGTGTGGACAGTGCTGCTCTAGACTGAGCACTGCTTCCCATCCAGGCTCAAATCAGCTGGGTCTCGGCACAGCTGAGAGGGTGGCCTGGGCCCGCTCACTCACCTGGGACCCTTTGTGGCACCGGCCTTCCTGGTGCCAGGACTTGCTTGTGTGAATGAGATGTGATGGTGCTGGGAGCAAAGGCTGAGGCTGATGAGCAGGCGCCTGCTGGTTATGTAACCTGTGCTGCCCAGAAGGGCCACTAGGGGCTGCTCCGAGATCCCTGGGAGAACAAAGCCGACGTCCTCAGGGTGAGCCGGGCTTTATTTGGAACCCTTTCTGGAAGCTAGCCGGCTAGGTCCTTGGCCTCCTCCGGGGTGATATGAGAAGGGGGCATGTAGAGGGCAGGGACGCTCCTCTGCTACACGGGCACCCCAGCTCAGCGGTGCAGATGACAAGCAGGCCGGCCCTGCCGGCGGCAAGAGATAGGCTATAGGATAAATGAGCTGATGGATGGGGGTGGGATTTGGAGATCTTCCCTGCAGTTCTTTGGAAGAAAACAGCTCCGCATCATTCAGCTGGGTCTGCCTCCTCCCGGGTCCTTGATTCTGCCATTTCTGGCAGATTACTGCCCTTTCTTCCTTACCTCGCGGCTGGAGCGGTGATGGAAGCTTGGTGGTGGTGGTGGGTTGAGGGGGCAGAGGTGCCGTTTGGTGCCTTGAGACAGGCAGAGCTTGACTGGACGGGTTCCGGACAGCCTCTCGCGTCACAACAGCAGGTGGGCTGGTGACACTACCCCATTCATGCTCTGCCTGCTGCAAATACATCTTTGTCTTTGACAAGTGTGAGGAGGCTGGGGTAATGCTGCTAAGGGCTCTTTTTGAAGGTGCCGGGGAAAGGCGAAGGACAGTATGTCCAGGCTGGAACCAGTCCAGGCAAATGCATGCTTCCTTGGTTTGGAAAGGGAGTGTGATGAAGTGGAGCTCGGTACTGCCACCATTAGTTGGAATCGCTAGAATTAAATTTGTAGGGACAGGTAACAGGGTGGATCCTAATGGTTCTAAGGGGTGGTTACAGCATTATAATTCTAGGCATATTTGGGGAAATGAGAACCACTTAACCTTTGCTTAACGCCAGCATCTGAAGGGGACCTGAGATACAGAAAAGGCACTGTGGGCGTGGGCCACCTCGGGAGCTGGGTTCTTCCCAAGGGGTGGAGATGACAAGGCTGGGTCCCGCTCTGTCCGAGTCACTGGGGAGAGTCAGTGGGCCAGAGGACGGGAAGCTTAGGTCTTAGAGCTTCTGCCTATAGAAAAGGGTTGAAGAGACTTCCATTTGAAAAGCAGGTGGGAGCTGTACACTGGAACAGTCAGAGGGAGGGGCACATTGAGCTAAGGGTCTGCCTTCAGACCACGCTGACAGCTTCTGGGGCTGTTTCTGAAGGGCTGCGGGAGGAGCCCTGGCAGAGAGCAAGGCATCTTCTGTATAGTCACCATGCTCTGAAAGCATTCAGTTGCCACTATTGATAGATCTCTGGGTAGCACATAGGCAGATTCTAGTACTTTGTGATGTGGCATTGTTCTAAATGGTACCAGATTTCTGTTCTGCTTAAGGCAGTCGTTAGAGCTGGCCCAGGCCGACAGCCTGGCGGGCTGGAGTGGGCTGGAGTGGGCTGGTGTCAGGGAAGTGGTAATCCTCTTTTCTGTGTGGCCACTTCTTCGTCACTGGGTCGAGGTGGTAATTTGAAGTGAGATATGTTTCCCAGGTTTGTGGTCAAATCTAAATCAATCTCCAGAACCAAACTAAAAGAGTAACAAATGAAGGATCTGGATTCTTGTCTGTGAAGGTAACAGTTCTTATTAGAACCAGAATTTCATTCAGAATTAAAAATTTTTACCTGCACCAAATCTTCAAATTACGACCAGAGGCTGGTTGAAGAAGCAGTTGCTTCAGTTTTTACTGTGAGAGGAGGGGGCGGGAAATTTCGAGGTCACCTATGTGATGGGCTGAGTATTGGCTCATCTTTGGGGCAAGGGCCCGGCCAGCGGCCTCAGGGACCGTCACAGGTGTGGTGTGGCACAGCCAGTCGCTGTTTGTGGAACGGCCCGGGCTGCCTACGCCTCTTCAGCCTGGATTCTACGACCCGCCCGGGCCGTGAGCATTGACCTGGGGGGACTGAGCGGAGGTCCTGAAGGGGCAGGAAATAAGGGCAACGGGGCAGTCCACTTGTGATGCGCGTGGCACCCAGGCGGCCTCCGCCAAGGCCTCCCACATTGTTTTAGGGGGAAAGAGGATGTTAAATGGCAGGAGGGGCTCGGGTGGCAGCCCCGGCCAGGGCAGGCCCGAGTCGCCAG